ACCAGCATTCAATCGTTAAATAAATAAATTTAAAATCACTTTAATTTGACTTCATTTTTTAAGATGAATTAATTTTAAGTTAAAAAAATAAATATTTAATTATTTTAATTAATTAAAAATAATTAAAAAATTTATAAAATTCTCAAACACTTGGGAATCCTTCCTTAGGTCATTCCTGACCTTTAGAGTTGATTTAATGGAATTGGGAGTTCATTTAAAACAAAATTATTAAAATGCTTCTTAATTAAGAAAATTAAATAATTGAATCCAAAAAATAGTAATTTAACTTTAAAATCAAAAATCAAGAAATATTAATAAAAATTCATTAAATTTCAAACCTTAATGAAATCAAATCACTTGATCACATCAGTTATCTCTGGGTAACTCAAACTTAAGTTATCCTTCAACCTTCAACAAACCTGAATATTAGACAACTCAAACCAATTATCTTATATAGGAAATATCCAAACCACACAACCTATTATACACACTTAGATGGTTTGCTAGCGCTCCACTTATAGCTCTAGGCTAGGCAGGTGTTTACTTTTCTACAGTGTGCCGGGTTTTTTGAGCTTTCACAACATGTTGGTTGTTAGAATTATATGATTACTATGGTTATTTATTTAATTGTTGTATTTTATGATAAGATTATAAATATGGCTAATTTGAGTATTTAAATTCAATATATAACTGCTTAGAATGACTTAATATTAATTATTTAGGATAACCCTGCAGCTGTTGAGTCTAAATTTTAATTTTTATCAAATGTAATTAAATTTAGAGAGTTACAATTCAAAGTGACATTTGAAAAGGGATATATAACTTCGATTCCAAAGAGGAGAGAACATCCCTTAATAGAGAGTTCTTCTCCATTTGGAATGCTAAGTTAGGATAGTTTTCAAATATCCAAATGTAAAGATAACACCCCATTCGAGGGGGAGTTTCTTTTCAATTTAGATATATAAACATGAGGATCCAAGGAGCCCGCAGAAGGATGAAGAAGTGGAGAACGAGAAAATCCCTTTCTCAAAGTCACTCGAGTCTTAGGAGAAGAATTTGGGCTGTTGTTAGTGGTACTCGGCCACTTTACTTTATGTAGACCCTCGGTTATAATATTAAGTCCCACTTGTTATATGGACTCTCAATTTGAATATTAATTAAATTTTATTGATGATTGAGGTCTTGATCTGTGATTATGATTACCATCTTTTCTTAGGTTTTTAGAAATCCTGCATGTTGATTTTATTTTAGCTTGGATATGTGAGTCTCATAAGGGTGTGAAATTTTTTTTTACTCATAATCAAAAGTGTAAAATATTTTGAGTTAAGCAACATAGAAAGATAATGAATATAGGGAATTAGCCAGAAATCTCCCCAGGGGTCATGTGCTTATTACTGCACTTTTTCTTTCCTTATTTTAGACACTTCCCCGCCTATGGGTAGAGTCCTGATAATCTTACGTATAAGGATGAGGTTCTAGACCTGCGGAAACATAGTCTTTTAAAAAATTAGTATATTCAATCTTATATGATTTTGATATGTCGACTAGCATGCATTGCATTTGAAATACATTTAAAGGAGTCTAAATTTTAATTACATTAGTATTTATCCTTTTTACCTAGTATAAGTCAAAGGGGACAACTAGAAATCTACTCTAGATATCGCTCTCAACTCCTTAAACTCAATCTAATTAATGTCCCTACCACTCTTGCATTAAAGATCAGAATCATGGTTTCAAAGCTCCTAAGTGGTTTAGCTGGCTCCCCAATCTAGGCCAGGCTAAGTCCAGATTTACACTGTATTAGCTAGGTTAAGGTCTCTAATTTTCAGTACCCAATTTAAACTTAGGTTTTAAGGCAGGCTTAGGCTACAAGACCTCAACCTCTTGAAATTGAATCCCAATATTCTAATAAAATTGACCATTCAACCTAAATATTTCTTTTAACCAAATTCAAGCCCAACACTTAGGATATACTGAGGTGTTTCTGAAGTAATTCAGAATGTCAAAACACGTCCTACCATTCTTCCTTTGACTCCAAAAATAAGTGCTCAACTTTGATCTAATCCTAATTAAAAATTTTAAATTCTTACCTCCTTTGACATCAACATTTGAAAATCTAAATAAAATTCGTACTGCTATTTTAATTGAGATTATTCATAGAAAACTTATGTTTCCCTATGTTGTAATTAACTATGAGAGCTTGTGCTTGTAGAAGATTTATAATCCAAACCATATTTTTAAAATCAAGTTTTCAAAACCAATTCTCTTTAGGAAATTAACAAAATGGCGATCGTTATCATCATATTAAAATAATCGATAATCGGCAACATAATCTTTCCTCGAGAAGATATATTGCTTTATTAAAATTACTTTGATTATGAAATTAACAATCTCCTATCCGGGTCATTATAGTCAAACATTAGATCGAATTTAATGTTGACCCTCTGGGGTCATGTGTGATTCTTTCTTGAGTTTGACTATGATAATCAGGATGAATTCAAAGTTTTATAATTTGAACCCAATAGGGGATGATATATTCACCTTCCATGGTGATATATCATTCCTAATGACGTGTTTTGTTTCAACATTGCCAAAATTAATCTTTCCCAGAGAAAATTAATTTTTTCAAACAATACCCTTTTTTAATTAAATAAAAAAATGATGACTCCACTGGGGATAAATCTCTCTCTCCATCTTTAATAGTAGTATAATTTTTTTGCATCAATAGTTTTGACTACCTTTCTTTCGTTGGTCCCTCTGCCCATTTCTTCCTTTTGTGAGTGTGGCCAACATAAATTAAGAAATGTCAAAAGAGAGGTGAGTGTAAGAAACCTCTGTCAAAATTTGGCTGTGACGTTTTGCCTCAAAGTTAATTGGTAGAGCAAAAGACTCGAGCCAAATCTTTCTAAATCCTTTTATATATGATATAAACTTGCATGCTCAAACAAATATCAAGCATGCTAAGTTTCATATATTATAGAAAATCCTTCAATTTCAAAATTAAGGTTTCAATCCTCTAGTGGAAATTTGATACTTCTCAAATTTCAATCAATTCCTATATTCTATCATTACATATTGAATTGTAATTCTTATAATTCAATATGCATGATCAGATGCAGAACTCTTCTCCTAACTTGAAGCAAAACTTCAATCTTCCTAGCAAAGGTAGTATTTGACATTTTATACCTGAATCATTCGTCGGGTCGAAAGAGTTGAGTCAGCTCCCTAGAATTTTCCCACAAATATTATAAACCTTTATGTGTAATATGAATTCAATATATTTAGTTTCAAAAATATGTGGAGATTCTATTAAATTTTCAAATTTTCAAATCCCTTTCAAAATCATTCAAATCCAAGTCAATTATTATTGTCATATGTCTTTACACAAAACCTTCTTCTAATTTGACATATGCAATGTAAATCTAATTTTCTTCAAATTTAATTTCAAAATTGAAATTCTTCCAATCAAATTTTGGCTTCGATATTTCACCCTCAAGTCACTTGGAGGGATGAAAGAGTTAAACCTAATTCTCAAGATTCTCATATTAATTTTGTGAACTCTCATATTGATTGAAAACTCAATAGGTTGAGTTCCAAAATTTGAAAAAAATCAATTAAGTTCAAAATTCAATCTCAAATTAAAATAAACCAATTCAAAATCACTTTTTTTTTAATTTCAAATCCTCTTATTTTAAACATTCTAGAAATCTAGATTCTAACATATCACTCCCAAACCCCTCGATGGGGTGAAAGAGTAAAGCCTAATTCTTAAAATCTTTAGGTTGATTTTGTAAACCTGAACATTTGAGTGAAATTCAATGTGCTGAGTTTCAAATTTTTAAGATGATTTCTTCAATTTCAACCTCAAATCTGAATTCAATCTCAACTTCAAACTTAAATCAAATTTCAACATTAAACTTGGATTAATTTTAACTACAAATCCAAATTAAACTTTTAACCTTCAGTTCAAATTTGATTTTAACCTCAAAAATTCATGTCTAATTCTAATTTCCAACTCAAATTTGGGCTTCGACATTTCATACCAAGTAAATTGATAAAATGAAGGAGTTGAGCCCAAACTTCAAGATTTTTGTGTCAATTTTGTAAATCTGCAAAATTGTGTGAAACTCCATATGTTAGGTTTCAGAATTTATAGAAGATCTTTCAATCTCAATTTCAAAATTTGAACACTAAATCAAATCTATGTTTCAACATTTTACTCCTAATCAATTGAGGGAGTTAAAGAGTCAAGCTCAAATTTTAAAATCTCCTCCTCAACTTTGTTAACTCTTATGTTGAATGGAAACTCAGTATGTTGAGTTTCAAAGTTAAGAGAAAAGCATTAAAGTTCAGAATTGAAATTTAATTTCAAATCAAACTAATTCAAGTCACTTTCTTTATTCAAAAAAAAAAAAAAATCAAGCATAATCAAATGGCTGGAAAACCTATCTTCTCCTTGGATAGGAACTTGACCATAGAAGAAATCATCTATGTTTGTTCAATTCAGTTTGGAGTAAAGTTTCAAAATTTGAAACTATTAGTTAATGAAGAAGAAATCATTGATCTATCCACTGGTAAATAAAAGGATTTCTCCTATATGGAAGTTACTGTATGGTTAGGAGCTGACTCCCCTATGCCTAAAATGGAGGCCATTATTGCACCTTTGTCCACTGTATCCTCTACTCGGGAGGTTAAGAAATAGAAACTAGAGACAACAGATGAGAGGTCATCTATGTCTATTTTTGGCTTAAGTTCTAGCTCTCTTTTTGTCGACAAGATCTAGAAGAAGAACTACCTTCAAAGGATTAGAAAGAAGGTTTTTTTTTTTGGGTAAACCCGGGGCAAAAGCCCATGTATTAGAAATCAAAAATCAAAAATACAAGTAACCTGAAAGGAAGAAAACCAACTGTAAAAATGAAAAACAGCTAAAGAACAAGAGACAAAACCATCAGAGGGTAGACCAGGGAGACAATACAATCACGAAGACTCAGGCAAAAAGGTCAGATCCAGACATCATAAAGATTCAGTCTAAAGCATCCAAAAGGCGGCGGAAGCTCCGGTTGCCCATCAAGAACAAAAACGAAAGCCATCACAGAGCCTCCAGGCACGTCAAAAGCGCACAAGATTTGTGCCAGGTTGCTGGAGCAGCCCTCCATGGCACAAGAAGGATCTGAACCAGTCATCATTGTCAGATTGTAGAATTGCCTCCACCGGTAACAGCCATCAGGATGGAAGTCAACAAAACCGTATACCCAAGAAATGAGCATAATGTTCTTTAAAAAGGAACAGGATTGGACTGAAGAGAAGCCAGCCACAATCACCAAAATGATCTTCCCAGGTCTGAAAAAGTAGCGGAGCCACAAGCAGAACTCCCAAAAATCAGTATGCCAGGAATCACCGCATAAAATAGAAATATAAGCCTCCAAAATAGCAATCCTGTAGTACCATAAGCCTCTAAAAAACACAACTAAATGCCAGTGAATCTTTGGAGGAGATTGTCTTTGTTTTTCCATCTAGAAATTTTAAATCTAATAGCAGTTGAAATGTTGCAAATCAGTCTAACCGAATTGGTTCTCATAGCAGAGAAACGCCGGCCATTTCTCTCACGCCAAAGGTGATACAGAATACAGCTAACCGATAAGTAGCAAAGATCCTTCTCCAAACAAGTAAAGCAGTTGGAATTGTTAAAAAATTCCAAAACCTGAGTTAATGTAGGCCTCAACAAGAAACAATTTACATCAGGTAAGATGAACTTGAGAATGTTAAAAGAGAAATCACAAGCAAAAAAGAGGTGATTGTGATTCTCAGCAAAATCATTGCAAAGAGAGCAAATGATGGGCACCTCAATGCCCCTAATCAGCAAATTATCAGCAGTTTTTAGTTTTCCGAGCACCGCCATCCAAGTAAAACAAGCGAATTTAAGAGAATGCTTCTTGTGCCAAATTGAAATAGACCAGTCAACTTTTGGTAAATGGGAGTGAAATTGCTCAATAAAGAACTTAAAAGCCCACGAAGGGGAACCATTCCAAAGGATGCCAGAACTTTCATTGATTGTAGAATTTGAAATAGCCTCAGTAAGCGAATTTGGGAAAGAGGTAGGAAGATCCCAAGTCCCATTAGAGAATAATTGTTTCACAGTGAAATCATCACTAGCCACAAAGATAAAATGGTTAGCAATAATATCTCCCTTGAGCCACGGGTCCCACAGAAAAGAGAACTCACTATCAGGAGACACAGAAAAGGAGATATTCTCTTTAATCAAAATTGCTGTAGCACAGATTTTCTTCCAGAAATTAGATGCACCAGGGGAAACCGGCCTCCAAGGAGAGACAAACTTTGCTTTGTACCAGTGGGACAAGAGGTTTTTAGAATTATAAAACCTGCCAATGATGGAGCAAAAAACCCCATGGTAAAGAGCCTCAAAGGAGGGGAGACCAAGCCCTCCATACTGTTTTGGCAACGTGACTTTAGACCAGGCAATGAGATGCAACTTTCTTTCCATGATATTAGTATGAAATAAGAATCTAGAACAAAGTTTATTGATGGAGGCACAACAAGACTTAGGTATTATGGATCCTCTAATCCAATAAGCAATAGTATTTGCAATGGTAAATTTGAGGAATTGAAGTCTACCTGCAAAAGAAAGAAACTTGTTTTTCCAACCATCAAGAAGAGAAGAAATCTTGCTCAGGAGTGGTTGGAAGTGAGAGATTTTAAGTTTTTAGTAGAAATTGGAAGACCCAAGTAAATAAGAGAGTTGTACACTTGGTCAATACCAAGTTCCCCACAAATATCAAGCTTCTCGGGTGCATTATTAGAGAACAGAATAGAGCTTTTGGCAGCATTCACATGAAGTCCAGAGAGAGAGCCAAAAAGATTTAGGCAGTTGGAAAGACAGACAGCATTGGCATGAGAAGCTTCTCCAAAAACAAGGAGGTCATCCGCATACATGAGATGATTAATATTGACCCCTTTAAAAGTAGAGCTGTCAGAAGATCTGATAAGAATGTTGGAAAAGCTCATCCATAACAATGCAAAAAAGTAAGGGAGATAATGAACACCCTTGTCGAAGCCCAGAAGAGGATTTGAAGAATCCTTCCAGAGACCCATTAAGGCAAACAGAAAAATAAACGTCAGAAATGCAGGTTTTAATCCAAGAGACAAAAATTCTCGGAAATCCCTTTTGAAGAAGTATAGCAATCAGAAATTCTCTAGAGACAGAGTCAAAAGCTTTTTTGATGTCAAGTTTAGCACAGAAACTTTTTTGAGAGCCTTTAAAATCCCTTAGAATTTTAGATGCTAAGATGATGTAATCAGTGGAACATCTGTTAGCAATAAAATCAGATTGACTTTCATGTATAATGTGAGGAAGCACCTTCTTGAGTCTTTCAGCAATAATTTTTGCAATGATTTTGTAGAAAATATTACAAAGCGAAATGGGCCTGAAATCATTAATGTTAGAAGCATGAGAGCATTTGGGGATCAGAGTGATTGCAGTGGCCTTAACACCTTTAGGGAGAGATCCAGAAGTGAAAAAACTGTTAACAGCATCAAAAACTTGAGTACCAAGGATGTGCCAAGTCTTCCTATAAAAAGCATAAGAGAAACCATCCGGCCCAGGAGTGGAAGTGACTTTACCATCAAAAATAGCAGATTTAACCTCTTCAAAGGAGATAGGAGCAACCAACATACTCTGAAAATGAGAGGGGACCAAGTTACCCGTAGGAAGGTCTAAAGGTAAAATGAGAGGAGGAGCTATAGGATTGTATAGCATCTTAAAATGATTCACCACCGCCTTAGAAATGTCATTGAAATCAAAGAAATGACCATCCCCAGTAGTAATCTCCTTAATAATATTCCTGTTGTTTCTGCTTCTGATTTTGGCATAAAGAAAACCCACATCCTCCTCCCCATGAGTAAGCCAGAGGGCTTTTGCTTTTTGAGTAATCCAAGAAGTCCAATTAGCTTGTAAAGAAGCAAGTTTCTCATTGATACATTTCAAATTGGAGTTTAACTCCAAGTTGAGAGGTTGAGATTGAAGGTCTAATAAACATTGGTTCTGCATATACTTGATCTCATGGATGGAGTTAGTGAGGTAGGAGGAAGAAGCCCAAATCCGATTTTTGAGAGACCCTTTGAGGCTATGTAAGCTATGGTAAAAGGAAGCTAACGGACTTCTGACAGTCCTAGAAGAAAATGCATTGTGAACATCATCCCAGAAGCCATCCATATTAGTCCAAAAGTTTTTGAACATAAACCGAGTAGAGATGGGTTTGGCATTGGTCGGGACCAAAATTAAGGGAGAGTGATCTGATCCCAAAGGAGGTTCCACTTTGTAATAGGCTGATGGCAAGAAATCAAGAAAAGCCGCATTAACCAAAACTCTGTCAAGTTTAATGTGTATCGGGTCAACCGCCCTTTGATTAAACCAGGTGTAGAAAAGCCCCGTGGAAGAAAGATCTTGCACACCACAGTTGAAGATCATATTGTTAAGTTCCCCAAGCCGGCTAGAGAGAGGGGAAGAACCGCCCGCTTTTTCTGATTCAAATCTATAACAGTTGAAGTCTCCAAGAATGATCCAAGGTTGGTCTTGAGGAGGAATGTTATCAGCTAAAAGGTTCCACAAGGCTTTACGCTCATCAATGCTATTCGAAGCATAAATCACAGAGATGTAGATGGGAGGGAAAGATCCTATAGACAGGATACCATGTATAATTTGCGAAGTAGAGAAGATAAGATTAAAAGAGACCGTTGAAGAATCCCATTTAATCCAAATTCTACCAGGGGAAGAGTCCCTAAAGTTATTACAACTGCCTTCGTTCTCAAACAGTAAATGAGAGCGGCGGAACCACGGGTCTTCAACAGAGGAGGTTGAAATCTTTGCTTCCAAAATACAAAAAAACTTAAGATCATGAGAATTGATCAAGGACTTACAAAAACGGACTTTGTCAGGGTTATTAAACCCCCGGACATTCCAACAAGCAAGTTTGGGCAAGGACATCTTAACAAGATGAACCTTTGGCCTTCTTGGCCGATTTCCCCTTCGGGGGCTTTGACTTATTTGGGGATTTCCCATTACTGACATGAGATCTAGTCTTAGGCGGGATGTTGCTCTGATTTCTGATATCAGGTGGTTCTTCTGTAACTTTGGAGCTGCTGGTCTCATTCTCTGAAAAAGAATCTACAGAGTTTGAGGGGAGACAATCTTCCATTTGCAAGGAAGCAAATTTATTAACCAGAGGTAACTTAGGACCAAGAAAGGATTGTGGTAGGATAATTTGCTCAGAAGAAGAGGATTCTTCTGTGGGGGAATTGAGGTTTGGGATAGTTGAGTTTTTTGGAGGAGGAGGCGGCTGCTCTAAAGAGTTAGAGACAGGTTGGTGAGGAGGGGGCAGCTGCTCTAAAGCGTTAGAGACAGGTTGAGGAGGAGTGGAAATCAGCGGTGTGTTAATCGGAGCGACAACAACCGTCTCCCTGGTTTGATGCGTAGGGGCTTTGGAAGTGGAACGGTGGGGACGGGAAGAGCGAGCTCAAGCTCGAGCTCGAGCTCGTTCCACAGTAAACGAGCTCGAGCTGGCTCGCGAGCCGGCTCGGTTCATTTTTCATTTGACTTGAACAGCCCGCCCTTTTTTGATAAGCTCGGCTCGCGAGCTCGTTAACGAGTCGAGTTCGAGCCGGCTCACGAGCCGGCTCGGCTCACCTACACCCCTAGCGAGTATCCAATGAGGGCAGTATTCCAAAGAGATTTCCCTTCAGCGAGGTCATTGCCGTTGAAGGAAAGCTTTTGGCTGGGAGAGAAGAAAGATACCGGAAAAGTGGCAGGTTTGAAGGCTGGGGCTGAAACATTCGCAGCATAAGACGTAGCAAGAGGGGGTCCAAGCCCAGAGAAGCTAGGCAGTGGAGGAAAAACCTGCGATGAAGAGGCCATGCGGGGAGGGAGAAGCCCTCCTAGGCAGAGGGGCGGGAACAGAGCGCCGGCAAAACCCTAGCATAGCAACTTTTAGGGTTCTCTCTTCCTCAGATTCCGTTTGTTAATTCACCCCCTGCAGTCACTGTGTACATGCTATAAAAAAAAATTTAAAAGTCATATCAATGACACAGTGCAGTGTGGCTCGCTTGCTTACCTAAAAATGAGTGGGAAATGACTAAACCGTTTAAGCGGGAATTCAATATCAAGCGGCTCGATGAGCTCGTTTATGTTACCCGAGTCGAGTTCGAGCTCAGTGTTTGACTCGCAAGTCGAGCTCGAACACCTCCTGACTCGAGCTCAACTCGACTCGTTTGCACCCCTAGTCACCCCTCCCTCAGCCCTAGAACTTGTCCTCCTTCCAACACAAACTCATTTGTCTTTCTTTCCTAGGCAATCCAAGGCTTCAACACAATTTCCCAAAAAAAAGGTTCCAACACAGGTTGACGGTATCTACCGGGCATAAACAACTCTAGATTGGCACCTGCTAATAGACTCATCCTTACGTGCTTGATTGTATTAGACTCGCCCATTATACTTGTCGCAATTGAACTTGCCCAAAGATATATCATCATATTCATATAGATCTATTCTCCTTCCAGTCAATCAAAGAGTGACACATATCTAGAGTAATATATATTAAAGTTAATAAAGTGTTATATTTTATATTTCTTTATAGATGTAACATTTCATGTAGTCCTCATACCTCGAGGGGCGGAACCACGTTCCGCTTAGGGGGCAAATGCACCCCCCACCCCCCCACCCCGCACGCGCGCGCGGGGGAGCTTTAGAGTTCAGTCAGCTGATTCATGGAAGAGGAGGCTTTGGAGTTCAATTGGATGCTTGCAGTCAAAAATCTGTTCATTTGGGAGTGGAACGTCCGCCTATCAGATGTTGGAGTTGTCATTCCCAGGTTTATTGACTGATTTTTTTTGTGCATTTTAAATTTCTTTGATTAATTTGCATGCAATTGTTGAACTCTCTTAAGCTAATTTGGTATTGTTTTAATTTCTACTTAAATTTTAAGGTTTATTGACTGATTTGTTATGGTCTATTAAATTAATTATTAATATGCAAAGTATATGATCATTATGTTTGTTATTTGTTTTTTTAACTTATATGAATTTGTGTTATCTTATTTTTATTTTTTCTAAACTGGGAATGCATGATATATGACTTTAAGCATTGATTTGAATATTCAGTTGTGGGAAAATTGTTGAAATTATGATTGGTGACTCATTATTGTTAATGAGGATTGGTACAATATGATGGCTATTCCTAATTTAAGTCATCTTGTAACCACTTGATTTTATTACCTTATATTTTTCCTATGAAACAACAATTTATTAAGATACTTTTAGTTTTTAAAAACACTATTCAAAACTGTCTGATTAAATAGAACAAAATTTCTATTTAGATAAAACATTTTGCTTTGTATCTTTATTGCTACTTATTCAAGCCCCAATAACAAATTATGAAAGGCCAAGCTGGTGAAGATTCATTTATTAAGGAAGGGTTCAGAAATTGGAACAAGAAAGAAAAACTACTTTGTCATGTTGGAGAGCATAATAATGAGCATAACAAGATAAGACAAAAATGTGAAGATTTATTGAAGAATCATGAACACAAACTTCCAACGTTATAGTTGAGCAAAGAGGAGAAGAACAAAAAGATTACAGGGTCATGCTGATTGTTGTAGTAGATTGTGTTCGAATTCTCTTACATCAAGAATTATCATTTCGTGAGCCTGACAAGTTATACAGGTTAATTAATCAAAAAAATTATTTGGAGCTTATTGATTTCCTTATTAACCATAATGATGAAATCAAAAATGTTATGTCAACATATGCAAGCTCTAATATAAGGTTAACATCACCAAAAATCCAGAAAGAAATTTGTTCTGCTGTTGCTGCTGAAACTTTGGCACATATAATGAAAAATATTGGTGACTACTACTTATCAATCATAGATGATGAAGCTAGAGATGTTTCTACAAAAGAATAACTTGTTATTGCAGCAAGATATGTAGACAAGTTGAGACAAATTATAGAGAGGTTTATAGGCATTACATGTACTGGTTCAACTTATACAACAACCCTAAAGACAACCATTAAGAGCATACTTGCAAAACACTCGTTAAGCATTCCTAGAATCCATGGTCAATGTTATGATGGACATCCAATATGTGAGGAGAATTTAATGGCTTGAATGCACTTTTTTTATTATAATCCTTAAGCATTTTATGTTAATTGTTTCGTCCATCAACTCCAACTATGCTTAGTAGCAGTTGCAAAGAATCATTGGCAAGTAAAACATATATTTCGATTAACTTCTAAAATTATAAATACTATTAGAACTTCCTGTAATAAATCAGATGCTCTTAAAGCAGATGTTCTGATTTATATAATGGAATCCTTTAATTTTATTTTCAAAATATATTTGATGATTGATATATATATTGAGGATTACACATGAGTTGTCATAATCATTATAAAGAAAAGATCAAGACATAAAAAATACAATGAAATTGGTGAAAATATCTATATAACGACTACATATTTTGATGAAGAATTGATGAAGTGCTTTAGTACAGGAAGTGTCACATTTTTGTAATTTATTCAAAGTTAAGTTCCAAATATGAATGATATATATATATAACTCGTTGTCGATCAATACGAAGAGGTGAAAAAATATCAAACATACATTATTATCTTGTTGAGCTATTCTACATTATGGATGACATGTAACTTCAAGAGCCAAATAATTATTTTTTTGAATCTAATACTGAGTTTCTTTTTTGTAAGATATGCTAAAACCCAACTAATTTTTTCAATGCTTATGATAAGAAGAAATTGATGCATCTAACAGAATTATATCCAAATGATTTTTCTACCATTGACCTTATGACTCTTAAAAGTCAATTATCAACTATTATCATTGATATGCATACCGATGATGAGTTATCCTCTCTAAACAATATTGTTGATCATGCAAAGCAAATTATTAAGGTCAAGAAGGATTGTGTGTATTCTCTTACAGGCTTATTACTTTACATCCACTTTATCAATTGCTACTGCTATAGTCAAAAGAGCATTTTCTACAATGAAGATTATCAAATATCGATTGCATAGTATGACGAGTAATAATTGGCTCAATGATTGTCTATTATTTTACATTGAAAAAGATGTATTCGATTGAATTCCTAACAAGGTTGTAATGCGTCATTATCAAAAGATGCAAAATTGATTAATGAGCATAAAATAATTTTTAATTTATCTATTATAATGAAATGCAAGATTTTGCTTTGAATTATGTCTTCATTTTATTTTATTTTTAAATTTTGTCCATTTATATGAAAATCACCCCCCCCCCCCCCCCCTCACACCCCCCCCCCCCCCTAAAACGAAAGCGTGGTTCCACCCCTGCATACCCCTATAAATAAAGAGCAAAGGAGTAATTAGAATTTTTAAGATCTCTTTGAACTTGCGCAACTTAATCATTGATTCATTATCGGCATGAAGACTCGAATTAATAAGACAGGAACAAATGGTCTAATATATTTAATAAATTCTTTCAATAATACTAAACACTAACCTAAAAAAAATCAAACTTTAACTAAAAAGCCAATAAAGAGCTACCACTTCCACCACCCATCTCCACCACCGCTCGCCGCCGGCAACCGCCGACGTCATCAACGCTGGTCGTCACTGGGCATCATTGCCCCCAATGTTAACAACCTAACACTACCCACTTTACATTTTGCATTACATTTATTTTACATCAAACCAAATATATCTAAAAAAAATAATCTCATACATTCATTTTACACTCATCCAAACAATTCCAAAATATTCATTTTACACTATATTATTTTTACACTGTATATCTTTTTCAGCTAACCAAATAACCCCTAAAATAATTTTCAATATAAACATATAAATAAAATTATTTTTACATACTTTTAGTTGAACCTTTTCTTTTCTTCATATAATCTTCTTGAGCAGCCATTTACTTAATAGTAGATTTACTTGAAATATTCCATTTAAAAGGTTGAGTCTTCAATAACAAACTCAGCGGTCAATTATATTTTAATAATATTTATTTTTTATCTAATATGAGTTTTATTAATCCTTGATTTATTTATTTATTTATTTATCTAGTTAGATAATATGAGTACCCTAAATCCTTGATTTGTTTATTTATTTATATAATATGAGTATTGTCATTCATTGATTAATTGATTCATTTATTTATTTACATAATATGAGTACTATCAATCTTTGATATATATAACATTCTTTAGAATTTCTTTTTTTTTTTTCCGTTTGTAATCGCTTAGCAATTCATTTATTTTGAGAGCATCGTTAAAATTTTGTACAAATGAATGTAAAACACAATACTCGCACAACATTTCTTATTCATAGATCTGCACTCGCCTTCATACAATTAGATACATAATTCTCAATCTTTGAAATTGTGATTAAAGTGGTGGATTTTTTAGCCAATTATCACCCTAGAGAAAAATTGGACTACATCATGAAATTAATCAACAACATTGACAAAGCTCATATAAGTGTATCTGTATTTGACAGAGTAGGAGAATTTACTCGTGAAGGAAATGATCTCTATATGAAAATGAAAGAATTTGAGGTGTTTAATGAAAAAAATCTTGCAAAATCCAAAGTGATTAGTCATGTATATGCTAACCTCTTAGCAATTCATTTATTACAAATGCATCGTCTAAATTTTATATCAATGAAAATACAACTATTTTTATTTTTAATGTTTTTTCCATTTATCATGCACAGGAATGTTACGTCCCCAGCAAGTACCAAAATATGATAAGCTCATGTATTTACATGTATATACTTTTTTCTATTTTAATTATTTGTCGTAATTCATTTTATTTTATTGTATTTTCATTTACATATTCATATCAATATAAATACTGAATATCAATATAAATACGTAGTTATCATATCTAATAATTTACATTTCACTTTGCTTGCTTAAAGAGATGGAAAAGTCAAAGAGAAAAGATCAAGAGTAAGACCAGATAATAGAAGGAAAATATCACAATTTGTAAACAAATGCGAGTGAAGTGCAACAAACAAGGGCGAAACCCTTTAATGCCCAGCGGGGCAATTGCCCCCCCTAAAAAAATAAAAAATTTTGTTTCTTGCATAAATTTTTAGGTAATTTATCATCCTTCTATATGAATCTTTAGGCAATTGCCACCCCCCTATGATCTTTAGGCGATTACCCCCTAGCAGAATTATACACATTGTGTAGAGGGGTTATTACAAAGAATTTTAGGCAATTGCCCGCCTAAAAGTTTTAAATTACTATGGTCTTTAGGCAATTGCCCCCAACATATATAATTAAACACATTGTGTAGATGTGCTATTGTTAGAGAACGATGAACAAAATACAAAGAGAAATAGCAAAGAAAATCCAAAAATATCCTTACAACCAAAATTACATAGAGATATTACCTAATTTTTGTTTAAGAACAATTATCATTATACAAAATGTTGATGATATTTAAAAATATATTATATATTCAAGTACAAATAATCATTAGTCAATAAAATAACCACTTGATATTTAGCCCAAACATGTTGAGAATGATTAGCTTGAGATATAAAAAAGCAATTTCAGGTATGTGCAACAAATAACCGCAACTTTTTTAATGCTTCTTAAAGCAACTTTTTAGTACAAAAAATAAAAATTTTCTACTAAAAAACAGCTTTAAAAAGCAGTAAAGAAAAGTAATGCTGGATAATGATTCTTAACAATATAAAAATACAGACAATGTGCTTACAAAAAGCATACATGAATAGAAATAAAGTTGTCATGACGCATGAAAGGATTTACAAATTTTTTTCAATTGTTTGTTTTCATTGAGGCCTTGACTCATAATACGCACTAGAGCAATGATTACTCCACAGGCTTCAATAACAAACAAAACTAGAGTGCAACCTATATAGCATGATAAAGCAAAGAGGCAGCTCTTTTAGTCCACTGAACCATGTAAAATTATCTCATAATAAACAAGTGTGCCAACTGTGAATATAATAAATATGACCATGTAAATGCACCAACGCAACTGTTAGACCGGTTCAGCCGGTCCGACGGGACCAGCATACACGAACACAGAGGCGGGTTTCTCAGCCTCCTATAGGCACCGAACGCACGCCATAGGCTGTTTTAGCAAGGTTTTTTGAGGGAGTTAGGAGGGAAATTTAAATATAGGGATTGTTTAGATATTTCCTTTTGATTTGTATGCATTAAATAGTTTATTTTCCTAGGGTTATGGCATCTTGAATTTGGCTGAAATATGAGATCTCTTAGATTTAGGTTTTCTTTTGGGGCTCTTGCGGCATCTAAAGATTTGAGAGAGATCGATCCTCCTCTCGAATTGAGGATCAACTATATCTTGCTATTTCCCGTTTCTATTTCATCAAATAATACAAAATATCTACTATTGATAGAAGATCCATTTCATACTATTGCACATTACTAAGAATAAATATTATAGCATGGAGTAATAAATAATCAGCCCTCAAGATCGCGTGCCGAGTTTAAGTTCATAGCAATTGCACAAGAAATTGGTGAACTCTTATGATTAAAAAATAATTTAGAAGACTAGATATTAAATGGGAAGAGTATATTGTGATAAAATATCCACAATTAACATTGCCAATAACACATAACAACATCATAGAAAAAAAAAGTATTGATGTCGACAAGCATTGTATAAAAAAAAGTAGCATGAAAGTGGGCTAATATGCACTCCTTATGTCCCAATGTGTAATCAAATCGTGACATATTCACCAAGTGATTCCATAATCTTGCTTTCATAAATATTTTAGACTAGCTTGAAATGTTAGATCTCTACTGATCAACATGAGGGCAGTGACTAAATTGAAATCTGTCCAAGAACTGAACTCAATGCTAGCAAAGACTAAATTGAACGTTGCCTTGGACTGGATTATGTGGCTGATGGAAGACTAATATGGAAACTGTCATGCACAGTATTATTAGACCAGAAAAAACTTAAATGAAAGCTATCCAAGATAAGATTATGAGATTGGCGGAAATTGATTTGGAAGGACTCATAGTTTCCTACTTTGTTGTGAGTAAAATTTCTTATAGCAACAATGTTTTATTCCTAGAATTATATAGATTCCTAAAATGTATTCAGTGGCACCATAAAACACAACCTTTTTTAATAAAATTGTTTATACAGGTTAAATCTACAATATGAAATGGGTCTACTAACTATATGAGAGCATCAATATATATGAAAGGTTAAAGAACTTGAGCTTACACTTCAAGCAAAGGAAAATAAGATGTTCCCTAAGTTAAACCTCCCTAAATGTTAGTTTTACGTGGAATTTGATTGTGTCGATCAATCAAATTGTACTGTTCACTCAAAATTCAATTATGCCGGTTGAGATCGTCGGGGGGCCTGCGCCTCCTTGGGTGCGGAGGCTTTTCCCTTGCAGTTTTTTTTCTTTGTATAATTGTACTACAATGCAGTGTTGTACACTTGTTTTGACTTGGAGTCAGAGCGGAGTGCCGTGGCGCTCAAAAACCGGCACCAGGGCACTAGGAGTCAGGCTAGAAAGTTTTCTTTCTCATTTTTCATGTTTAACTTGAAGGGTTGCGTCCCTTGGTGTAAGTTAAGTGTGGCTCTTTCTTTATTCTGTGGTGAATAAATTGTAAAGTGAAGAGAGGTGAGGAGAGAGTGAAAGATAAGAGATATATACTATTAATCCAAGATTTTCATAGTGAATTTCTTGGTGTGGTGTGACCCCATGATTTTTTTTCCGTTTTTGAAAATTTTCATGTTAAATCCTGGCCTCTTTCTTTTTTGCTACATTTTCACTTTCTTGTTTGTATATGCTACGTGGTTTACTTCCCAAACAATCACATTATAAGGAAGAGTTTCGAAGCTACCAGCTATGCTCAACATTATCTTTAGAAGATCAAATGAAGCATAAGGAAGAGTCTCGAAGCTTTCTTTGCAATGGAGTGCATTTTCGACAAATTCATATGAAGATTTACCAGCATTTATCAAAAAAATTATCTACCACAAGCATCTTGCTGCCATCTGATATTTTTTAAATTTTCAAACATGCAGGCATATATATATATATATATATATATATATATATATGATTTGATTTGTAAATCTGGCAAAATATGATAAAACAAACTTACAATGGTTAAAAGGTTTGACAATCAAAGATGAAGTTGACGTGATTAAGTTAAGAAAACTGCTTTAGAAAGCAATGAAAAAACCATCCCAAATGAAACCTTAATCCCTCACTTAAGCAGCTATCTACCACCTAACGATTAAAAGCACTGAAGTCCTTTTGAACAGGTCACTAAATAAGCTTTACTGCAATTGGTGCAAAATAACATGTTCAAAGAGATCTTATCATATACTTGTGGAAAAAGAAGTGCATACAACGATGATACTGTATCATATTTCCTGAAGGAAATTGCATACACAAGCAACTAAAATTGAATCATATTAAAGATCATGTGTTTTATCATATAGACCATGTAAAACTTGAAATCCAAAGCTTCGTAAATATAACATTTTGTGAGGTGCCTATCAAAATGAACCTTATGTCACGTTGTAGCATAGAAAACAAAATATTAAGAAAACTTCATAAATATCAAAGGAAATACCTTTTAATAAGTAATGAAATTTTGTTCAAATGTTAAGTTCATTATAAAGAACACAGTATAAATAATTTTAGAAAGGAATATTTCACAAATATTTATGGATTTTACAAATATACCTACAAGAATACAATTTAAAGATTGCATGAAAATCGAGCGTTCAAGAACACATTACATTGGCAATTGGATCTCAAGGAAGCGTACGCATGATTTCATGGCAAAAATCATTAGCACATATTAGATACATAAACTCCATAAAAGTCTATAGTGAACATAGTTATACAAAGTCAAGACGCTAATTTAGCATGCCACAAACTCCAAAGATAAATTACAACAATAAACATGGCATATGATTGAAAAACTTTTGCATCTATCACAAAGGAAAGCCACTTCTTTTATTATTGTACTTACCTAGACTCTTTGACATCAACGGTAAAGTTGTATTCCTGGTCACAACCCAGATAAGAGTCGCACATAAAGTAGATCGTGAAAGGCTTCTTCCCAACATCTTTAGGGACTGCAAAAACAAGCTTAACCTTGGCTCTCCTTTGAAGTGCAACTCTTTTTATAGCGAGCAATTGGTTGTTGCTGCTATCACCAACAACAAGCCACCAGCCTTCTTCTTTAGGCTTGGGATATCGGGGAGCATCAACTGATCCAACCTCCATGCGACCCTCAAGGTCACGTTCCAGTGTAACCAGCAAAGTGGCATCCTCACCGGGAAGAATGTCATCAGCATCCAGCACTTCATAAGCCATGTCAATGTTTGGGAAGCGATTGCAAAACCGAGCAATATCAAGCATTTGGGCGTCTGACATCTGCAATAAGTCGCGTCTTTCATCATCTTCCATTTCTACCAAATCGAATACTGTCTCTATACTTCTATCCGGGTTTTCCTGACAACGCTTAGCTAACTCCTTAGTGAAATGAGGAAGCTGGAGCAACATGGAATCTCTTTCCCACATTCCCTGAGTAATCATCTGGCACATCTCCATTGCAAGAAGGGCAAGGGTAAGCCAACCATTGCTAGAGATGACATCAACCATAGCCTGAAGGAGCCTATGAGCTGAAAGTAGCACCTCTCGCTGGTCTGCTGCCAAATTTCCAACCACATTATGCCTAGAGAAGTGAGCTTGCAGGAGCGCATTTGCCTTCACATGTGGATCTGTGCACTTAGGATTTTCAAAGGAAAATCTTTGATGATGAATAAGCTTCCTGATCAAGTCCTCCTCCCCAGGACGAATTGGCAGCAGTGCATATTCTGAGGCAGATGCTAAAATATCAAGTAGACCTTTCATTTTAGTTTTTGGAGACAAAGATGAACTGAAACGCTCTATGGTGGTGTAGCTAATGTAATAGTATGAAGCAATCAATCCAAGATTAGAAGGTTTGAGATACATGTCCTCCTCTATGATAATGCACTTGCTTGATTCCAAGTCATTCAATGTATTTTCTATAAGGTCAGAAAGATGGTCGGAAAGATGCCTGTGGCTGACACCCTGAAGATTATAGTAATTTGGATTTTTTGTGAGCCTTCTATACATAAAGGTCCATGTAAGATAATCCACCGCATCCTGCTTGTTCTCAACCACACCAACTACAACTTCAGCATTCATATGGTCGTGCAAGAAGTGATGCAGATGACTCTCAACCGGGAATGCTTCATAAAGAAATTTCTTATAATATTCTTTTCTTGCAGCATGACACAGAATTACACATTTTCCAGAACTGTCTATAAGAGGCCTGCTTGCATGTCCCATCATCTGCAATAAATCAGTGATTGGATAGTCAGTATGAGCATTCTCCCGCCCATCATAATATTGGGTACCCATGACAACAACCAAGTGAGCCGGCAACGACATTCCCCAACACATTGAGCTGCTTGCAACACAAACTTGAATTCTTCGGCTGAAGAATAACTGCTTCACAACTTCTTGATCAAGATCACAAAGCCCTTCGTGAAGATAGCCAACTCCCATAGGGAGTGTCTCCTTTAGAGTCTCCTCCTTAACTCCAGAAATGAAAGTCTCCATCTCATCCTTGGTTCCAAGGAGAAAAGAAG